CTACCATTAAAAGGCGCATTAGGATATTAAAAACTTTGTACAAAATCATTTCAGTGTTTCAAACGAAGGATGAGTTTATCACTCATTGTGCTATTTTTCCTCAAGATACCCATCAATGATATCCTAGGAACAAAGTGACGTTGTAGATTTTATTACTTAAAGAAATTGCTCCCAACCTTCTAGCGCAAATTCGTTTTGGAACATTGTTAGTTCTGGTTGCATAATGGGATCACAGAGTATTAGTGTAGACGTGAAGCATAACTTACTAGGCAGAAGTAGTCAACCGATTAATAATTCTATAAACTCATTGAATAAGGTAATTAAAACATGTTATACATGTTCAGCCATCTATCTCAATGTTATATGCTTGTTACCATAAGTGTTTAAAAACAGTTGGATGGTATTTTAACCAAGAAACGGCATAATATACTTGAAGTCAGTCAGTCATACGTAACGTAGATACTGGCGCGTGTGCACATCGGTTCAAATTGACACGCCATTTGTACAGGAAGATGTTGTTAGTGTAAATCCCAGAATAGTGGAGGCAGTAGGAATATTAGTGGTAGCAAAAAGGTCAGGTGTCAAATATATGATTTGAGGAAATATGGATTAGTCGGATAGGAAATTTAAACTTCGTAGTTGTAGCCTATTAATTTTAAAAGGTAGTTGGAAAATCTAAGTCAAATGATATGCAGTTGTATTCATTCTTTGCCTTCCCCTTTCTATCTTGAGCTTAGTGCCATCTCATCCTTCAATAAGGTTTTTTCTGGATTATATTTTCTAATTAACCAAATATACTAACATTAGTCTTATTATTGCGATTCCTTTGCTTTCCATCTTTTTAATCCACTGTACTGATGTGAGCTAAGTTCGTTTACACCAGTACGTATGTCTTAGGCCATGTGTGGTCTATAATATTATTGCCATTAAGTAATCTGTAATGTTTTATATCGTGTCACATGTGATTGCACGATCGTGTGTAACTTGTTTATTTGTACATACACAAACTTAAAACTGATTTGGTTTAGGGATTTAAAATATGAATATCTTTCTGACGTGGAAGATTTACGCACACTTATGGAGAATTCGGTCCAATGTACAATAAGTTTACTATGTCAAGAAAACGAGAAAAATAAGCTCGATCAAGAAATCCAATCGAAAGCTAACGAATCGTTGTTAAATAATGATTGTTATAATATAACACTTCAATGGACACATAAACAAAATCAATATGATATTTCATCTCTTCATCCATCTACAGTTCTATTATCACATATACTTCCATTTGCTTGTATTTCTTCATGTGTTCCACCAAAAGAAATCTATTGTACATATCAAGTACCTTCACTACAATCATCAGAACCGGATGATCCTTTTGATGATATGTATATATCTTTGACAGCACGTGAACGTCGTAAACGTGGTTTACCGAATGAACATCAATCAACTATTCTACCTAATAATGAACAACTGGAAACAGAAATAGATGTTACGGAACAGGTAAAAATAATATTTTATATTAACTCAATTTACATTTGAAGCAGACAAATAAAAATGTGGGATCTTGCATAAAGTTACATCAAATTCAGTTATATCATAATTCGAAATGATAGTATAGAAAGACGAAATCCATATAATTGAAAAGATGGTAAACTTGCGATTATGAACGCAAATGTAAAGGTTGATAGTGGTGTAGTGGTATAATGATTAAAGTACTCGCCTTTCGACCATTAGGTCGTGAGTTAATGTCCAGCTCCATCTACTTTGGTCTGAGCTATCAGACGGTATCATTAACCCACAATACAATCAGAGTGGCTCGAAGCTAACATAAATCTATATGCAGTAATTAAGTTGAAATAAAAGAGAAGGAAGTTTAAGGATAAAGTGCCAATGTAATTTCTAACGTGTAAAACGTGGTTTTATTTCCGTTACTACGATTGATTTTTTCTATGTAATTTTGGATATCCAAACATCAATATGTTATCTAATTAGAACAACATCACCCATTATATTTAAACCATTCTACACGTTTCAAAAGATGCCATATCGTACTAGAGTTCTATAATTTTAAAACTAGTCCCATCTCTTCAGTATTATCAATATGTTATAGTGGTAATTATAAATCAAGAGAAATATAACAAAAAAATAAACCTGGTATGTGATTCTCGAGATTCAAGAAAACTATAATAAACAATTTAAATGAAGGGTTAGTTTCGTAATATTATATCTTTATTGTAAATCTATGAAATCAGGAAGTAGACAATTAAAACGTATTTTTGCATAAAGCCACTTAATAACATCCCTCCATTAAACATCTAAATACAAATGCGAACTTTCAATTATAGAATGTTAATCAACAAAGATTACTGTGTGGATCTATAGCCATAACTGTTAAGAATTCAATAAATTGAATGGGCTTTGGATCCATAATTTTGTAGACCATTGAACGTTAGCTCCTGATCTGACATCAGTTACTGATGAATTTTATCCAAACCAACTTTTCCTATTGAAATTATTAACTGTCAAGTAGTTTTACTGATATGTTTCACATAGTTTTTTTTTACAAAGTTAATCAATCGAGCTTGTATTTAATAGTTTGAGCATTTTCACCATATTTTCTCTATAGGTGGCTCCAGTAGACAAACCCCTTCCACAAAAACCTAACTCCTTTGAATCCCTTCCAGAGGCAGTTTGGTGGAGTATCAGTCAGTGTGCAAACTTAATTGGTTCTCAAGTAGGGTCAGAAGTTATTGTTCAAACCTCTGGTCTTGCACCCGGAAAGCCTTCTCAAAGTTCAAGCTCCGTAAGTGACGAACTACGTCGACGTTTGTTGGGATGTATTATTCTTACTGGTGGAGGGGTAGCTGGTGTTAATAATCAAATAATGGAAAGATGGTTGACTGAGCAGCTAATTGTAATAGCACGGGAAAAACAAGCAGCAACAACCGTATCAAGCCACATACCAACAGTTGAAATCATTCATCACTCTGAACCTGGAGATCTCTCTTGGTCTGGTGCTAGGTTGCTACTGACTTCTGACTTGATGAATGACTTGTGGATCACACCAGTCGAATGGAACAAATTTGGTTCGAGAGCTCTTCGTGAAAAAGCACCCTTCCCTTGGTGATTTAAACTATAAATTGTAGATTTATGAATACATCTGTGAAATTTCTCATTCATGTTATCAAATGCATTTATCCCAGTTATTTCTAGTTTGTTCTTTGCGTACCTGTCGAAAAGAAATTACAACTTGCCCAAGGAAATTACGTGTACTAACGTTCATCTTCATTTATATAAAGAGCCAATCCTCATTCTTATATGATATCAAGCCGTATACTGCCTAATATCCATATAGCCTAAAGTAGTATTGGTAGTCCACGAGAACACAGAGGTACTGCGTTCAGGGAGAAATCTATTAGTCGTGAAGTCATTATTTGAGGGGTCGCTTGGATCTGCAAAAGAAAATTATCTCTGGGAATTCCGTAGTCACCTGTCATCGAAGTAAATCCTGTAAAGGATATCCCTCCCGTTTGATAAATTTCTAACGAGCTCATTCGCTTAGATATTGATTAGTGCGAATGAAGTATTGCAGTCCAACGAACACCCGGATAACACGAGTTACCATTCTGTCTGTACTTATTGCAAATGTGGTGAGTGGATAACTCGACTTCTCCCATTATATAGTTCTTAATAAGTGGGTAACTAGCAACTCTAAAACATCAATAAGTAGTGTTCATCAAAGACTGTCTATTACAATGACGTATTTTAGAGAAGATAACTGGCTTATGAGGCGTCCGATCATCACTCACTTGATGAAGTCACTGAATAAACATTAGTAGGGCTATAACCAAAGAACCTATCAGAAAAGTCAGTGAGAAACCCCAGGAGACTGATTCTCATACGCTATAACTCAGTTATACTCTAATATTGCGCTCGCCTACTTGCACTTCACCTTGGGTATTGAATACGCGCTTTAGAAATAAGGCAACTATTTTCAAAATACCGGAGTGTTCAGCCGCACAGACACGGAAAACTGACACAAATCAGTCAGCTCATCCGCAGACAACACACTTGTGTTTAAATCAATAAGAAGAAAAGCAGTTCAGTCGACGCAGGTTGTGGTTGGAAACACATGCAAGGATGTGTTTGATGACCACTACGCCGAAGACTTGCAATACAACTGACTAACATTTGGGATAAAAACGACTATTGACAGGATTGCAACTCACCTAAATTACGCAAGTTATGACGGATTTACAGAAACATGTGGTTTCATTTATGGCCTTCTCAGATGCAAATGATGTAGTTGCAATTTACAAGTTAAAATGAATACAGACTGATCGAATTGATGGAAAGTGAGACCAAACTAATATAAAGTAAATACAAATAACAAAAAATCACGAAGCCCCAGGCAACAAGCGATAAAGATAAACTGAAGTGTTGTAAAATAGGAATTAATTCAGGAACAGAGAACTTGAGCACAGTTGTTCTCCATAACGTCATCCTCCGGCATAATGTCAGTCATCTGCAACGTAGGACCATGCGCGTATATGCATCGATTCAAGTCGCCATACCCCACTAGCACGACAGGCTAAATACCAAATTCATAGAAGCAGTTGCTCCAATGGTATAAATCTACAACTACTGTACCACAATAACCAAGACAAGCTACCTTTGTATTATGCCAGGTGCTATGTTGTTTTTAACCGATGGGACTAGTCACCACTATGTTATGAATGTTGGTTACAGCTTAAATATTTAAAATGCGTCGACCAGTATAGTTAAAACGTTGTGCAAGAAGTGTGGGTTAACTTTAATCAACAGAGGTTATGCAAGGACCTAGTGCTTAAAAGAAGTTTAGTCTCATGAGGAATAATAAGACAGATTTAAGCTCAACCGGATGTCCGTAAGGTAATATTGTTACCCGTGTAGTCAAACTTTATTCCTAACCACTCACGTTCCAAAACAACCAAACTCGAGAAAAATCAGTATAAGAAAACTAACACGATAAATTATATTATATATATTAAAGTCACATAAAAGCTGCAGAAAAAATGAATATTCATATTATGTATAATATGGAGAAGGACAAGTCACACAAATATAAATAATAATACACATGACTATTAAGCACATGCGCATAAAAACAAATTAAAGAAATGCAAACTAATGTGCGTATATCTAAAAAACAAACTAAGTTACATAAAAAATAAAACAATTATTATATAAAACGGTCCAGCCTAATTGGATGTCCATAAGAGGGAGATAAAATAGGACATTTGTAAGTAAAACGAATAATAAACACCAGTAGCCCCCATCACAATAAATGCCATACAACATTTCTGAGATCATAGAAAACGCATTACGATGCGACCGACGAATCCCCATTCGTATCTTCTTTTACATCATCTTCAGCTTTTTCTTCTGGTTGGTCAGAATTGTTTCCATTCTCAGACACTCCGTTAGTTAGCTTTTGATTGGACATTTTGTTTGCCAACTCAGTAATAATATCACAAAATCGCGTACAATGCTGTTCAGGTATGGTGACTGAGGAACGAATGTTAGCACGAACTTCGGATATACGCAGAAATATACCAAATCTATTAGAACCAACATCGAAATAAAATGTCTTGTTGCCTACGAAGAGTACTTTAGATTCAGGTAAGTCTGAAAATATATCTGTAAGAAAAAAGGGCAGTTTATGATATTAAATTTCTTGAATTCATATTGTTTAAATGGTGGATATTTAGCATTAATAAAACAAGAGATGTACTACTATCCTTGATAGTGAAAGTGGTATATAAAAATTGTCTTTTAAAACTATACAATAATAAACTGCCATTCTCATTACTAAGTAGTATGGAAACGAGCCTCATATTTGGCAGAAATGTGGTGTGCAATAGCAAACACACTAGATAGACGACCATTACGAACATAAAAGAAAAACCTGAACTGATAATAACTACTTTAATTAAAAAGGAACCCTATATTAACAAAAATGGCGCGTATATCATTTAGCATTTGGGTAGGGAACTTGAGCGATACGATGTTGTCCAACAACCAAAAAATCATTGAAAATGAGCCGCAAACTATGTGCCAAGATTAACGACAGTCAGTCAGTTACAACGTAGGACCAGGCACATACATGCATCGACCCAAGTTACCTCATTAGCACAGCAAGACGAACACCGGATCCATAGAAGTAGCTAATTCAATGGTAGTAGTATATAAAAGAAAGATTGCATATAGTACAGGAAGGAAGGATTAGTTCGTACAAAGAAAGATATGAAGCGACTGCAATCTCCTAGTTTAAGGGAAGACAGAGAGCGTATAAACCGACGCCACTGTGATCGATTCTGAGCCATGTCACCCACAGTCCCCAGCCATTGGTTACGATAGTCACACGGACCCAAGCCAAGTAGTGTGCATCTACCAACATGCCTAAGACTAGAAGTTAGTGACTTCAAGCACTGATGCCACGTTTTTATTTGGCCGTTCCTAACTTTCTTCCAGCCATTCCTAAGACTAGTCAGCATTGCGCGTCGTGGTAACCGGTGTTCAGGCATACGTAATACGTGGCCCAATCATCTTAGTCGATGAAGATTCACAACATCATCAACTGATTTACCATCATTCCATAATACAATGCGTCTGACCCGGTGATCCCAGTAGATGCGAGCAATATTACTAAGGAATCTGTGGCCAAATACTAGTAGCTTACGAGTATCTTCTACTCTTAGTGGCCACGTTTCGCAGCCGTAAAGTAGAACAGAACGAACTTTTATTGATAGACGGATATCTCACCATCGCCATAGGTGACCTATATTGGCAAAACCCAAACGAGCTTTTTGAAACCGTGCTGAAATTTCGTCAAACACCAACCCATTACGGGTGATCAGACTTCCAAGTGAAGTTTTCAACGCGTTCGACTACTTCACTCCTTATCCTTAGTTCATGTGTTGACGCAGGCCAGCCCTGAAGCAACAACTTATATTTAGAGGGGGAGAAGCGCATTCCAAACATCCTGGCATTGTTGCTCAGTGCCATCAAAAGTCTCTGCGTTTTATCAGCGTCTTCACCAAACAGGACTATATCATCTGCGTATTCTAAGTCGATAAGTGGACCTCCAGGTAGGAGATAAGATTAACGACACTGAATGGTTGTTCAGACTGTCGAAATTCAAGTCGCCGAACTGTTCACTTTACACAAAAAATGTTTGTTATGTTAGCTGATTACTTCCAGTGAAATAAAGTTGTCTAGAACTGTCCAAATTTTCAAAGTCATTGAGGCTGAGTTAAAACAAACAATTCCACTTTTTCTCCAAGTTATAGGATTATCGCTACTGAATTTAAAACGTCGAATTTCTTGGTGAGATTCTATATCCATAAAATCCACAGAAAACACATTTTATTGTAAAAACAAAGCGTTTACAGAGCCAGAAGTGGGTATACTTGTAACAGGTGATAATGAAGATTGCTGTCGTTATTATCAATCTGATTACACGGTTGTGGATCGCAATTCATTCAAATAATCCAGTCAGTCATGCGCAACGTACAACCCGTGTGTACGTCGGTTCAAGTTACCATATCCCATTAGCACAGATATGAAGTTATCAGGCCAAATCACATAGTAGAAATATAGTCACAGGATTGTTTATTTATCTATGTATTTTAACACATAGATATTGGTACAAGGAGGCACCAAATACATGTGTGCCACACAAATCTCATTCGATATGTGTGAGGGCTGTGATACTGTCCGGGTGCCCAAACCGAAGCAGGTGGTTTTCTTAGGGGGTCACACCTGGAACCTTCGACCTGAAGGTCTAACCCGCAATGCAGTGGAGCATCGTAAGGAGATGCAGTCCCATGGTAGCCATTGACCAATGATTGATTCATACGCCATTTTTTCCTTCAGAATACTGGAGCCCATGTGCATTATTGGTTTGAAATCAGGGTTTTCCAACTCCCTTAGGTGGACTCTCCACGTCCACTAACCCGGTTAAAGCGTCGGACATTCGCTTTTCGTCCTCCCAACTTCGTAAGCAATACTCTTGCCACGAGAAGGCAGTGAGTAGGACTTCCCTGGCAGAGGCTATATACGCGTGGCCATGTGAGAGCATTTCAAAAGGGAGAACTGATTCTCCCCACTCTCGGCCGTACCAGGGTATTTGGGGGCCACATGATTGTTAGTGTGTAGCAGAACGTAGCATCAAAGTTGCAGCAATTTTTAGAGTAGAGAGTTTTAGTGGATTGAAAGCACGGCGTTAGGATAACACGTGAAGATCAGACGAGAAGACGGCTCGGACTGCAGAACACACCGAAAGATGGAGATGGAGGATTAAAGGATACGTATGTGTATATACTCTGTAATTTTTTACAATAAACATACATTTCTCATGCCTTTTGTTTCGTTTTACAGAGATAGTAACAGTATTAGTAGTGATAGGATTAGGCATCGAACATACGATTTCAGAAAATATTGATTAGTGGAATGAAAAAAATAGAGTTAGAATCTAAGGGAAGATAAGGAGTGAATGTACCCGTGCTATTGAGAAAGACTTTGAGCTATGTTGTCCAGTCTCTAAACGCGGACCCCAACAAAATGGTCTGAACGTACCCATACAGCTTAGTCAAAAAGTCAGTGTCTTTATAGACTGATATCAGATAATTCAACTCTTGTGCAATAATAGACATGTCGTTTACGATAAAAAAATTGATATGAAAACATGGAAAAATGACGAAAAGATAGAGTGATTGAGAACACTTTATAAGTGATATGATTTTCGCAAATCAGCACGGTAAACACACGCAACATATGACAAAAAAAGCATAAAAATCAGATTTTAGAAAAAAACCTTACCATTCTCCATATCTCCTGAATAGCCTTGTATAAGATCAGTCAATGCATTGCGCAGTTCGATCATACCCTGAGCTGGGATTGCAATCTGAACACGAACGCCCATAGAAAGCATAGCGAGACGCAGGAAACGACCACGTTCATTTTCCTTGAGATCAAGATAATAGCGCCTGCTATCACGAACAATAATGTCAGACGCAATACGCCCATCTTGTGCGAGTGACTCACGATTGTGAGATGGAAGTTGACTATATGTGTCACTAAGTTTGTTAATTTTTTCTTTCATTTCCAGAGCAACAGGCATTGACATCAAGATGCGCGATTTCTGTCCTCCATTGCCAACTTCAGTTATTTTCACGAAGCGACCTCTCTTATTTTGCTTGATATCTAGGTAGAATCGTTTATTTTGTATACGAAGAGCTTTGGAGGCCAACTCTTGTTCCTCTTGCTGCCCATCTGATATGTTACGTTGACTTAGTAATTGCAACTCACCTTTAAAGCTTTTCACAGCAACAGTTTCTGGCATTGCGCAAACTGGAACCTTCTCTAAGATACCGAACTACAACCAGCTCCTAACCAACCTCTACATTAAAATAAAGTGTTCATAATGAATGCTGAAAAGCTAATAAAGACGGGGGCATTTTAAACCAACTAATCTCAATCAGTAGAAACAGGTAAAGATACAAATGTAAACCACTTTGGTGGTTATATTCACCTTGATATTGACAATTCGACTAATCACAGGCAGGGAACAATGCACAAAATAGGTTTAGTCTAGTTCTGCAAATTTGGATTAAAACACGTAAATGAATAGGATGTTGGTTACTCAGTTTAGCACTTTCTTTAATACTGAAGACAAATTATTAAAATTCAAAGGATACTGGAATACAGAAAAGACAAGGTTTTCATAATCGTAAGATATAGTTTACCTCTATTCTAACATTAGCTTCATAGCACATGACTCTAACCAGCTTCATGGATACATTTTTAAACATTTATGGTAAAAGTGGAGTATACTAACGACTTTGAATAAACGCACTAGGATTAAGTTAACGTCTCAATTATTTTTGAAGTGCAGCGATAGGTAGCGTGTTATTATTAGGCAAGTAAAAATCGGCAATATTTTATTCACAAAACATTTGGGATCACTGAAATTATCTATTATATAACAATAAAGTGGCTTTCAGATGGTGCTTACGCTAAATTACGTGAAACACCTGCTTCTAAGGTAGACTGTGTGTTGAAGTGCATAATGAGATTGATGAATAATTAAATTTGTCACTAAATCTCAACCCTAAGTATTTCAGGTTTGTAAACAGAAAGGCGGCAATGTACTGCATTATAGATGACATCAGTCCTTGTTGAAAACACTGACCCCAATTTATAAATCCAATTCAAAACTCCAGTTTACCTCTCAATACCCAACCCAAACACTTTGATTATAAATGTCAGTTAACGACGAAAACTATGAGGTGATAACTAGCAACGCCAGCCTGACTATTAGTATGTATGTATATACGTAAACTCCTTTTTTCTCTTTGCTAAAAGCGATAATTTAACCCCAAATGCCCTAGTACGGTAGATGATGGTGTTGTTACAGCTCGGTAATTAGGCATTGATCTTTGGACTAGACTTTAAGTTGTAAAGAGGAAAAACGGATCCTGTGTAAAGAATGGCCCCTAAATGCCCTGGTACAGCCGAGAGTCCGCTCTCTTTCTCGAAATGCTCTCACATGGCCACGTGCATACAACCACCGCCTGGGAAGTCCTACTCACTGCTTTTCCGCGGCGGGGGTGTTGTTTACGAAATTTAGAGAACGTAAAGCGGGTTGGTGGACACGGGGAGTTCACCTAGAGAAGCTAGAAAACCCTGATTCCAAACCAATGGTGCGCATGAACTCCAGTATCATGAAGGAGCAACTGGCGTATGAGCTTATTGTTGGTTGCCGGTTACCATGGGACTGCATCACCGGACGTTACTTCACTGCCTTGTGGATCAGACCTTCAGGTCGAAGGCTACGAGTGTGCCCCATTAAGAAAATCACCTGCTTTAGTTTGGGCACCCGGATAGTATTTCAGCCCTCACACAAATCGAATAATTTACGTGTCGCAAATCTATTTGGTGCTTCCTTGTACAAATGTTCCTGTGCCTAAATAAATAATAAATCATCACGACTAAAGCAGTAATTCCCTTACTTTCTACTATTAATCATTTTATGACTAGGCAGCGTCTCCTCATTGGCTAGTAGGTCGCCCAAGGTCGTCGATATATCTTACTACTGCCACATATATAACGAGATATATTTGTCACATTAATTTCAATCCAACCGCAACTAAAGTATGTGCATTACAGGTGATTACATTTAAATGCCGAGCCATGCCTTGATCAGATCCATCAGTCTAGGTGATTAGTAATTTAATAGTGTCACAGAGTCAAAAAAACCCTGACTCCAAACGAATGGTGAGCAAGGGTTTAGGATCCTGAGGGCACAAATGTCAAATGAGTCCATCCTTGGTCATTGACTACCGTGGGACCGCATTTTTAACGTTGCTTTACTGTTAAAGATTAAGTCTCTCCGGTTGGCTTTTAAGAGAACGATCTGCTTCGTACCGGGCACCCAAGCAGTACTTCCGCTCACGTACACACTTTGGTAACACTTTGCGCTCATGTTGGTCCAAATAAATATGATAGTACCAGATTAGTTAGGTTCTTATTATACGCCACAATAACTACATCACACACGAATCAATTCAGAATGTCACTCTAAAACCATCCACATCAAGTAGTTTTATCACAAATTTATCAGTCCCACCTCTAATAATTAAAAATCTTGAGATGGTTAGACGTTCTACCATTGATATATTGGATAGACACAATAAGGATATTGGATGCGCGAAGATGGGCCAGACTATACCTTAAAACACTAATCAATATGATCGCAGACATCACACATCGCTGACAGACATATAAAGGACACACCTCAGAAATTGCTGTACTTACGCAAATACGCCAAGTAGATGGCTTATAGACGGCACTCAGCACTCTGAAAGCAGGATTAAGTGCTGCCTGTCCCACTTTAGTTAGAAATCTGGGTAGGACCAAAGAACCCAAACCAAAAAAATGAGGCCAAAGGGCCAGGGACTCGAACCCAAAGTTGGCAACTGCATTGAGTAGAAACAAAATGGGTACATTTCCCCAAGCTTCTGTAAACGTGAGATATCCCAGCAAAGGCTTTTCCTATACATCTAATGGAACTTAAAATCAAACCACACATGGTCAGATGATTGATACGATTTCAAGCCATATTCTCCCTTTGCCCTTCAATGCTGAACGCTTTGCATATACAACGTTTTTTGTGTAGAGAACATGCCTGTATCCTACATCATTCGGATGAACTAATGTAAACCAGATGACTTCATTGAGTCCGGCATCAAATTTCCCCAACGAATCCTGGAGGTCAATTTTACGTTGAGATAGTTCATCACATACGGAGCAGTAATATTCAATACTATTCGAGCGCTTACACAATATAATTTAGGAAATATTTACAGACATATACCTTCAGAACGAATTAGGCAGCTGACAGCCTAGGCGCTTTGAGTAATCCCCGTGTATTTAAACAAAGACAGTTGATTAAAACTACCTTCCCGAAAACATTGAAAAGTTAGCACGTGACTTACAAAGTTACCTTTTCTGTACGACTGCATTTTTCCGACAACGTTTCTTCTATAAATTAAACCAATTCATAAAGTGAGATGGACAATAATATCATGTTCACATGAAATTATATCCTAATTGGAATATATATATATATATATATATATATATATATATATATATATATTCATATTACATTTCGTCTCAGTTTTCCTTGCCTTTTTTCTCGATCATTCCGTGTACTTGTGAGAAGTGCTAATCTTGAAATCGTCAACAGGATTATACCCACCCCAAACTTATACGCGTCTGTGTTAAGGCCTGAACATCAGAATCCGAGCAATAAAAATAACACGACGTTTTGTCCGTTTCCCATGTGTCTCAAGTAAACTGTATCTATCCCATGTGACATTTCGTGGTATATGCGGCTAAGTAAACGAGTGGTTCGGCTAATGCTCCACTCGTAGTAATGAGTAAAAATCAGATTTCTCTCAACGTTTTGAATTTAGACTGTCTATGGTAGAAAATGATTTGCTTATCATCAATAAGACTGCCTACTTATAAGCGAAGGTGCCATATATGTTACCCCTTCTCATAGTCTCCATCACATTGTAATTCAAAATATCTCCCCGACATAAAGAGTGCTATGAACATTAAACATTAATGCTGGTTTTATTAGCATTATCGAACCTTATTATCTTAAACTACCCAATCTCGTATCACGTCAATAACTATGCACCGGTCATGTTAGGTGCCACTCCTTCACTAGATAGCCGGCAAAACAGCCCCAACTCCATTTGCTTTCTACTCTATTTGAATCTGTTGTTTTCCCAACCCTCAGCTTTTACTTCCTCGGTCATCGAGATATCGTACTTTACTTATTCCGATGTAAACATCGTCTGGTTCACTGTTATATACAGCATCTCTCAGGCCAGTGAAATAAAGCCGAAGCTTACGGGGAACTGCCACTTCAGCAATAAATTTGTCATGAGGTTGAAGACGAACCATTTAGCACCATCCCATCTTATCTAGTTTACGAGCCTGACTGGTTACAACAACTTATGAATATCAGATTTCAACTGACTGGCTACCAACTTGTAGCCAAACTTGTCGTCTAACTCATTGAGTACATCAAAATTTCTTGACCTTCAGTGTGTCATGCAACCATGTAGAGACTTAATCGAATGGCAAGTATAGAACTGAAACCCAAGCAAACTACAGTTGATGACCAGTCGGTGTCTCACGTTTAGGTAAGTTTCTGAAGATCAAGTACCCTCTACCCCCCTCTCACGATATATAATATTTGAAACCAGAAATTCGTATTAGCCATAAGTCTTAATTTTTAAGTAATCACAAATGATTGACTGTAATAATAAATATGTAGACGAATAATGTAATTCGCTTTACGCTTTAGATTATTTAAAAGGATAGGAAAGGTGAAGTCTACGAAGTTGAATCCACATAATATTGTTTGATTTCTTCTGACTAAAGATAGATCTATGCATATTTTATTAGTTGAAAAGCGTTACAAGTAAACTAGAATATATCCATTGTTTTACATGTTCATGTTATTTTTGAAGTTTCTACTATAAATCTTCTGTCGCCATTGCTTCACTGACGACTAATACATTATTCGGAATATAATCTATGCAACCTTTCTGCCAACCTCAAGCGGTCACGAACAATAACTTCAGTAACAGTATTCTCAAGCAATAATCGCGTGCAGAGAAAAGTTGTTTTCCGAAGTTGAGGGTTACATGGGATAAACGAGACACATAAAATAGTCGCTAAGTTTTGTCATGAACAGATTAAGCTATAACGAATGTATATGGTCAGGAAGATGGGGTTATGACATGAAAGAACTCAATGAACGATTTCAACTCTACAGTTGCATTTACGGTCTTATTTTCGGATCATTTAATTTTACGACTCGTAGCATTAGACCCAGAACTTGGTATGGAGTAGCAACGAAATATCAATACTACAAAGATCATAGGAAGAATCGAGCTCAAAAAAGCGGATTGACTTAATCAGCTGGGCGTTGATGATTACTGACAATAATTATTGTTCTCCAGGCGTATATATTTAATAAAGCTGAAAGAGATTTTACAAACCTTTACTATCATTCACTCACTTTGCTGTTAGCTAACTGAACTCCCTTGACCGAACTTCAGGATTGACATATTCTACTTCATTGCGGAGGTAATTATTTAATGTAAATCGAATCGAAGGTTTTAGTTGGCAGGACCTTTCTCGAGGACAATTTTTGTCTATAACCGTATTGACCACCTTATTCGAAACGCAAATCACCGAATTATCGAAAATTTAGTAACCGGTTAATGTTAAAATTAGCCATCACTGACTTATGAAACTTGAAGCAATTCTTGAAAAATCTAAAGGACTGCTCAAGACTTCTGCTCTTCTGCACAATGAAAGCCATAGAAGATAAGACCTATTTATCCAAACGAGGTTTTTTTAACCTCTGTCTGACGTAAACGTTATGATAGTTACCTTTGCTTGGTTCATTTACGGTTGTTTTTAAATTATTCTATTCTCAATTTAGACATTTACGTCTCCCAATTTCTATGGACTTTTTGTTATGTTTTCATTCTCTTACCATATATTACATCCAGATCTCTTTTGACCACACTTTGTATTCTTCAGTCTTCCGTGTCTGAGCTTTTATTACGTGATTTTGACTGAAGACTTACCTTTTTTGCCTAGTTTTCTATTGCATGTTACCGGACTATCAACAGTAATGTCGTGTTAGACTAAGCTCGGGGTAACGGCGTGGTTCAGTGTGTGACTATTACCCTTGGACTGTCTGCTTGGGAGGTTTGCTGGAATCCCTGCAGATATCTGGTCCAATATTGCTGAAAATAATGCTATTGATTCTCAGGTACTTAGCTCTTTTGTGTAAGCTATTTATTTTTTTGTTTAGCACGCTAATTTGTGTTGAAGAAACTTTTGACTGTATAGCACAGGCTGTGCCGTTTGTGGTATTTTGTATTTTGCTATAACTGGTTCTATTTTCTAAATTAGAACCGCTTAAATTGAGCACAGAGTTTGTGTTTTGATGTTATTTAAGACGAGTAACTCAGAATGCTTCGTACGCTTTACAGAAGAACGTAGTCTGGTCTAATCGAATAAATTTTGGTTTGTTATTTCCGCGTTCAAACCGAATATTGGCAGTTCGGTTGTTATAAATAAGATGGCATAGCTCAGCCTTTCAGGCGTTGTCATTCTTGTGTAACCTATCTCTTTTACCCACACTAACTATATTGTTCTATATCCAGCCTAAATCTGTCCTCCATCATATACTGGTGATGATTACGATGGGACGGGTCAATGTAGGCGATAATGTGAATTCCACTTAAGATCTTATAGATTAGGTGGTCACATCACGACAAATCTACAATTCTAGGATTAGGTCTATTATTAGAGTAGTACTAATAACGAAGTAGACCAGTCATACAATATGTTTTCTCTATTTTGACGCAGGACTGTACTACACTATATATATGTAGTTAGCTTGTATGCTGGGGAAGTCGCATAGAGTGATTTGTAATAAGGTCTTATATAATTTTTATATATAACAGAAGAGGCTTTCAATATAAAATTCGGCGTAGATCAGTACTCGTATGGATGTCGTTCTGAGGTTCGCACACGTCTACGAACCTCCTTCAATATTTACATGTGTTTGGGAATTTATTCTACAGTTAATGCAAAAGTTTTAGAACTTGTGGATCGTGATTAAGTGAAAGACAAGACCAGTCGAAAGTTATTGGTAATAAACTCTCTTTCCTATTAACTACGAAGAATTTTGAATTTTGCTTGTTATGGTTTACCTCTAAACTATCAAGTTGACCTAATTTTCATATGTAAACGTTCTTAACAAGTATATGTGTGGTCAGATTGTTCGAAATATATTGCGCAAATATATAAACTTCATCTTCTCATTGCATTATCGTAACTTATTGTAATTGCGTAAATAATTAGGATGCTACGAAAGTAAATGTCTGACAATCGTAACTGAACTGTTACTGTTCACTTATTTCTTGAAGACACCACAGGTATTCGGAGTTTGACAACTCTTCAACCAGTAACACCTAATATGAAGCATATCCACCAAGTGAAATCAAAATACAGGAGCGAGGAGGTTCGAAGATATATTTGATAGGCTATCAAAATATCGAGGATCATCTGATCTAATCTGGCTAGCGATTGCACGACGTTCCAACTCGCGATCTGGTGCGGACGCATGACCGAGAGCCTTCAGCTTGGTGAGTCCATTAAAACTGATGTGGTCAGCATCCAATGTCTTTAACTTACGGAGCTATTTATTTTGGGGATTTATTTATCACTACAGATCACCCCCCCTAGTGAGGGTAATAATGACCCTAAGACCTGGCCAGCCAGAAGTTTAAACCCAACGAGTTTGTCGTTGGTAAACACTTTTCTGATAGCTTTCTAGGTTTATCAGCGTCTGGTCGTCTTTCCTTACTCTAAGGGACCATGAAGTACAATTTGGTAAAAAAAGAAAAAGTACAGTGAAAGTTTCGGTTCGTCGTAAACTTCATCGTTTTTTCCAGCCGTCCTGGAAAAGATAAAAATATCTTAGTGCATGTCGAAATACACTCATACGAGCGTAAAAACACAAAGCAGGCGAAAAATGGAAAATAAACTCATGCACACGTAATGGCGTACAAAAAGATTTTTATAATACGTTTTGTTTTTTTTAAATAAAAATATAAATATATAAGCATATTAAAATTGATTTTTTTCAAATTACACATATAACAAAGGAAAATCGAGACGGTATAAAATGTCCACTAGTATCTCACGTGCAATAATCGTTCAGATGTTTTGGAAATCTTACGCTTCTTCCAGAACGCGTGGTTTTAAGTTTATTTTCTGATACTGCTGAAGTATCATCGTGTGTGTTGGCTGTCGGTGGAGGTAT